TGCTCTCGCCTTTTGTGTGTATATTGAGTGTCCCATCTTGAGATACAGTCCAATCGGCTGTCCGATTCGACGAATGATACCAAATGTAGAATATTTGGGGGAAAATTTTCATTTCGTATGAAAGAGAATGGAGATTCGATTCGATGGTCGATCTCACCAGAAGAGGACGGCTGGTTCGCGTTGAATTGCAACCGTTTAGCCTTAATACTGCCTTTCGGTTGACGCAGTCCATCAGACATCCGTCCTTGTTTCGGGTGAAAACGAGCAAATGATGAATATTCACCTAACCTGAACTCATTCTCGTAGGAGTTTTCTTGATTATATGACGCGAGAACATGGCTCTGATAGAACCTGGAGGAAGGGGATTTCGGACAGTCTTGAATAAAAGCTTCCAACAAATTGGAAAGAGAATGAGGGAGCCAGCGTGGAATGTGAATAGGTTTCGATAAATGCGTTTAAAAGGGCACACTTCAACTAGGTTTAGATATGCAAAGAAAATTTGGGTTTCTAGGAATCTCTTGTTTTCTAATTGTTGAGCTCACTTTCATTTCGAGTGAAAGTGTTTGGTGAAGAGATTTGAACGTTGATTCCACCAGAAGACGACGGCGCAAGATTCATGCTGACGCTATTTCCGAGGCAATCTCCTTCGATCCTGGTGAAAAGGTGCTAAGCTTTCGTCCGTCATATGACGAATATCATCAGAGCAAGGTATCATCGTCACAACAAAATTCAAGCTAACTAGTCATGAAAAGAAAGAGTTTTATTGACTCGTTAGCTTGAATTTTGTTCTGACGATGGTACATTGCTCTGATGATGTTCGTCATGTGACGAACGAAAGCTTAGCACCTTTTCACCGGAATCGACGGAGACTGCCTCGGAAACAGCGTCAGCATGAATCTTACAGTAAAGCCAATCGACAGCTGATTGAAAGGAATCCGCAGTCGTCTTTTGGTGGAACCGACCTTCGAATCTCTTCAACCAACACTTTCACTCGAAATTGAAGTAAGCTCAACAATTAGGTTAAGGTAAACAAGTAAGAAATTGTAATAGTGAAGGGATGCTATGTGGATATAGGATAGTGGAATATACCAAGACAAAAGAAGAGATAACACAATTATTTTGCGGACAATTGGTCAATAGACAGACTTTACTGGTCTCTTTGACGAGTTGTGGTGTGGCTAAGAATGGCAAAGCTTACTGACGATTTCGGCAAAACGACTGGGAATGTACCAAGTGCACGGTTCGACTCCGGAAATTATCATACATCCAATCGATTTCGGAAAAGTTGCATTTCTCTAGGTTTTCCTACCAATACGACCAAGTTGCGAAAACAAGGTCAAACAATTTCTATAAAACGAAAGAGACCACGACACTACGAAATGCCACAGCATCTTGGTCTTCATATCTTCCAGTAATCTATTGTTGGTCTATAAGTAGGCTTCCGAGAATACCGGTAGATCATATATATATATATATACAAGATATATTTACCATATTTCGTTTTTGATGATAAGGGGACTGGAAATTGGCTCTTCCCACAATTATATAAGTAGGCCTTACGTTTCCGATGAATTTAATAGAGCCTTGCTTCCCAAAAGATGTCTTCTCCAGGCCGGACTGGACTGCCGCATTTGTTCTCGCTCAGGATTCAGCAAAACTTTTAGTATGTCCTCTTATCACCTTCAACGAAATAGAGTGAATAAACTTCATATATATATAATCTATAGCTAATATACATTTGCTTTATCGTAAATCCAACTAAAGAATGTAATATATGAAAATGCCTGGCATTCCTAGAAATTCACATTTTACATGTTATGATTATACACTGCACTGTAATGTTTCGTGTACTGCTGGGGGTGTCGATAAGACCTATGCGATGTCGAAACTGCGGTCCACCCTGGATGAGACCACCTTTTGGGAAAGCAAGACTATGTGAAATTCAATGGAAATGTAAGGTCTACTTGTATAATTTGGAGAGAATTCGTCTACCAGTCCCAACACCACCTTAAACTGAATAAAGTGAATACATCTCATACACAAAAAATCTAACAAAATGGGAAATAAACACCGAAATTCACAGCTTTTCTTTGAATATACTCATTGATACCCTCGGCTGCCAGGGCGAGGAAGATCCACATAATTGGAATACTAGGCTAACTCTGTGAACTTTTGGAGTCATTCCAATTTAAAGGGTTGCCTATAGGCAAATTTTAGTCTGAACAACCCAATTCGAGATCTCTGGAGTACACACTCTTCTCCAACTATACTGGATGGATACTTAACTGAAATTATTAAAGTCTGGTGAGTGTGTATCTGTAGTAAAATGTGGACAGTAGGTCATACATGAAAGTAAACTTACATTGCGTAGAAGTTGTTTGACCTTGTTTTCGCAACTCGGTCATGTTGGTAGGAAGACTTAAAGAAACGCACCTA